ACACGATTGTGCGCCATATGAATCTCTTAAATAATATTTTTTTTGTATAACCTGGAATAACGTCACTAGATCAAGCGAACAACAAGCCATACACAACATGAAATGGTACTTGCATACGTTTTATAGAATATTCAATCTATTTTGTATTGTATCATAAAGAATGGTACATTTGATTTGGATGTTCTTTTGTTGTCTTCATTATATTGTAGTGGTACCATAGAATTAGGGTGAGGTAATAATGTATTATCAAATTAAATACATACTTTAATTCACCATCTGATGCGAATGCATATTGTTTGAGTTAGCAATCAATTTGTTTTTTGGAGCAATGGACGGCACGTGAAGATCCTAACAGTAATAATACAAATCACCTAAGAATTTGGTACACATCAATGTGCAAAACTGGTTTGAAATAGTATTTGATCTTTGATCTTTTATTTGACTAGTTTGAAGTATTAATTTTTTGGACAAAATTACCCTTAATAATCTATTAATTTAACCACACGCCCCCTTCCCCAGAAAAAGCAAACAAGAAAGGAAACAAATATTTTCAATTTTATTCTTAATTAATTTAATTTGTTGATTATCAAAAATAAATAAATAAATTATTTGTTGACTAAATAAAATTATTTAAATCTGAAGTCAAAGCGCCACGTTTCAAATTACCATAAATTAAATACTCATTAAGTGGTAAGAAAAGATTTAGCTTATCTTTACATGTAGGGTTTTTGCCCCTTTATTTGTTTTTGGTTTGGGTTTAAATATCATTTAGAAAACAAAAAAAATTATTTCCGTCTTCCATCTCTTCTCTTCAACCAGATTATTCACAAAACATTTCTTTCTCCAAAGGCAAAAGATAATGTTTTCATGTCAATGCCTGTGAGATACGACAAATACCTAAGCGAGCAACAATCAGACAAGTAAACAAGCTAAAAACTTTTGTTTAATTATTTTTTTTCGAAGAGTTTAGCACTGAAGTATCTGAGGCTGGTTTTAACTCTTGTGTGGTTTTATTTTGACATAGTACGTACAAGAGTGAAGAAAGGGATGATGAACAATTCACAACCCGAGTCTGGTTCGTCTTCATTGACCAACTCTTGTTATGTGTGCTTTGGTATGGCTTCACAATTAGGTGATGATTCTTTGGTGAGTTTATTCGCATTTGAAAATCTTTGTGCATCTCGTTTCATATTTGATTGTTGTTTTGTTAGTCCAGTTTTGGTATAAGAGAATTAGTACATGTCAAAATTAAATGGATAGCTCAATATGATTTTGCTTAGGCTTATGTACTTGTTCTATATGTTATACCTTGAGTTTTGGTTTACATTGACAATATTTTACTGAAGCTACCTACCAAATTTTGTATGGAATATGTTAAATATATGAATCAATTAAACTTAAACCACGAAACTAGAGATTTTAATTTGGGTTGATGGATTTGATTCATATATTATGAGTTTTTCCATATTTGTTAGTCATGGTTTTTTTTTTTAATTATCAAGTAAAAATCCAACAAAGAGTTACCTCTTTTGTAAGTTGTAAAATAGGCTTGAAGAAGAAGCATATAAGGACAGAAGAAAGTGTTGAATCAGATAAAATAAAACCATCTTAGTTTGATGAGTTTTAGATGAAGGGATCTGAAAATTAGCATTCCAGGTAACACCAATATGTTGTTAACTCTTGATGTATGCTTGAACTTTTTGGTTAAGTACAAACTCGTTAATGACAAGAGCTAAATATATATTTCATTATCGTTAGGAAGTTTCATCAATTGTGACCAATATGTCTCTTCCTTGGGCTGGATTATTCAATATGGCGAAGTGACTCTAGCAGCCTTATATATCCAATATTTTACTGGCAATGTCTAGACATGCATGCCGAATAAAACATTTCTTCATTTATAAGGCTGCTAGAGTCACTTCTCCATGATGAATAATTAAGCTTAAGGACGAGACAACATTGGTCTCAATTAATGAGACTTCGTGACTAAACTAAAATGTAAATTAATCTCTTATCATTCACGACTTGTTACTTAAGCAGAAACATCAAGCATTCGGCGACAATAAACACAATAATGGGGTAACCTTGTATACTAATTCTCCCATTGCTATACAATCATTGTTTGCAAAAGGAAGAATTTCTCCAGTAAAATTTCTACTCAATACAAATCATAAAAACTATCAAATACAATAGCTAATTATAAATACAATCAAAAGTATGTACTTGTTCTATTAGTTTTACCTTAGTTCTGGTTTACGTGGATAGTCATTTATTGAAGCTAGCTATACAAATTTTTTTTTGGAATCTGTTAATTGTAATCTATCAAAATAAAAAATAAGGAAATTAAGAGATGTTGGTTGGTGGATTTGTATCATATATTATTGGATTTTCTATTTTTGTTTGTTATGTTTTTTAATGAAATTGCAATTGTAATGAAGCGTTACTCCAATAATAGTTTTAAGACAATCCTACGTAAAATCAACAGTTTCAAACCAACTCGATAAAAGTATTTGCGAAATAACATTACCAAAATCACTAGAGAACACTTATAAGCTTTTCCCTCTCTGGGATAAGACAAAAGCGGCGAAACACTCCATAGTCGACTTCTTCTTCTTTAAAAAGTTGAGTCCTAGGGTTAAACTGTAACGCCCGTGTTCTGTAAAATAATATGAGACTTGATTGTGTATAATAATTAGGGTGGAGTCGGTTTAATTCAGGTTGATTTCCTAAACTGGTCGATTTGTTTAATTGAATCAAAGGAGGTTTAATTAATATCGATTTAGGTAAATCCTGATTTAATCATAATTAAACCTAAAACCCTAGTTTTATAACGAACGCTTCTTCTTTCTTTTGTTTTGTTGCTGTTGTTTCTGAGAGTTGAGTTGAGAAAAGGAGAAGGAGAAGTTCACTTGTGAGAAGTAGAGGGTTAGCTTTTCTTTGATGTTTAGAGCAAGAGAAACAGATTCGTCACGTCTTGATAGAATAGAGTTCCGACGTATCAAATCTTATCGAAAGGTAACGAAATTTGGTAGGTTTGTGCTTAAGGCGTGTACGTTGATTCTCCTTTTACAGAAGTGAATTCGGATTAATATTCAGTGAGTTATATGCAGTTTGGTGAGACGCGTTTTCTCTGCTGCGAACTGGGATCAACGTAGTTTGTAAGTGCGATCATGGTTTCATCGTTTCTCTGATCGGCACCAAAGTTTGTGGGGATCTTCGTGACGTCGGGGTCTTGCTTTCCACCGAAAGGATTAAGGAATTAACGGGCGTTGTTTGGCAGTTGCAGTTGCGAGGAGAGTCTTTCCTGGTTGTATTTGTTATTCAAATCACCTTGTTAAGGTGAGTGCGTGACCATGAGCTTATCTAAGCGATTGGGATTGAGTGACTTGTTTGTGATGATTTGTAGGTGAACTGAAAGTGTTATTGGGTGTTTATCTTGCTGGATGGTTTGTTTATGTTATATATGTGGGTGTTATCTCATTGCTTGTGTGTATAGCTCCTAGATGGGAGGATCGCCTCACTGAGTATTTGTGATAATACTCACGCATCTCATTGTGTTTGTGGTGCAAGTATAGTGTGATCCGTGGAATCATGGCGAGAAGAGTAGGATGATCTAGGCGCTCATTGGTGTTTTAGATTATTGTTGGATTTGTTAGGGTGTTAGAATGAAATTTAGAAACATGTTAGGATGATCATGTTTTGGAATAATGTTTGGTTGAACTTGCTGGTTTAATGGAATTGTTTGGTTTAATTGATTTAAATTGATTAGGACCGGTTTAGCTGGTTTGAATTAATTGGGTTAATCCGGTTTGCATGTTAAAAGAAAAACAAAACGGGATGGGTTCTTTCAATTTGGTATCAGAGCCCTTACGATTCTAGGGCGGGAGTAAACTGGTGATTTTTTTTAATGTGATGTGTGAATTTTGTTGATGAGAAATGATGATGTGGATTGCATGCTGATTGATTTGTGTGTTTAATCAATTGTGTGAGCATGGAGACCTAGATCATCCTCTCGAGCCTTCAATGAGATTCCACGGTAAGTTGTGATGTTTTATCTTTTCTCTAGTCGTTTGTTTTCCTAGTTTCTGCTCGTGGCAGTGTGGGAGAATAGGGGTTGCGAGCGTGGTGCTCGTAGTATTTGTGTGGTCATGGTGGGTGTAGTCCGGAATGCGGGTCTTCGGTGTTGTTTTGTTGGAAATGGATTTCCGAGAAGTTAAGTTGGAGACTATTATGTAATACCCTGAGTGACGGGATGGTGTGGGAGTTGACTTGAAGAATGGTCATGGTGGAGATGATATTCCATGTGGGAATATTGTTTGGTAGGTATGACATTGTCATATCGTACTTCGTCTATGTGAGTATTTCTTAGATTTGACTTGGTTGTGTCATGTGAAAGAGAAATATGTGTGAGTTTCTAAAAATAGAAAGCGTCGGGTTTGACGGTTCTATTTTTGGAAAGTTTCAGGATTGTGGTTAGTATAGCGTTGCGATGCTATAGGAGAACCACGGGAGGTATATGTGGGTACCGGAATTGGCACTCCGGGCTGGCACCCCATTCCGTTTAGGCCCGTTGGCGAAGGCCCATTGTTGGAACTGCCCAGCCCGTCAGGCGAAGTCCAGTAGGAGCCGGGGGTACGAAAGGAGGATCGAAATGGGCTATCAGCGGGTCAAGCGGCGTCTTAATGAGAATGGCGCGATTCGCAGAGCAGAGTTCGATGTGCGTTTAATGCTTGCCAGAGTAGTATAAATAGGAGGAAAAACAAAGTGTAAAGGGGTCGGATTTTTTGGGCAAAGTATTCTAAATAAAAACTAAGCATTTTTCTCTCAAACATTTCGCAATCCTATTTACGAGTTCGGACAGGGAATTAGGAACCCACTCGAGTTCACTCCGTTTCCAGTTCGTAGATTTCAGCTCCCACATTTTGGCGCCGTTTGTGGGGACCCTTATTCCCTAACCCACCGATTCCTCGTTTCCGACCTTCCGTCCTCAGCCTAGCAAAATGTCGAGCGATGATAGTCAGGTAACCCTCGGTTCTATTCAGAAGTTATTGCAGGATTTATTCGGGAAGACAGAGCAGCAGTTAGCTACAGCTGCGCTCTCGGAGAAGCTCGGAGGATTCGAGAAGCGGTCCACCGCTCAGGTGGCCGCCTTGTCTGAAACCGTCTCCGAGCTGTCTAACGCTCACAACGCTTACGCAGCCCAAGTGGACGCGCTTGTGGAAGGGACATATGTCAGTACCGCGCTCCGCAGGTTCGCATGCTCGATTTTGGTGGAGGGTTACCAGCGACGTCCCCGGGGAGCGGGCGACCAGTCCCCCCAGTCGCTGCGAACTCGGCAGAGAACCAGCCAAGAGAGGCTGGTCTGTCTGTCGGATCTCCCGCGAGTAGGAACTCCACACCTGGCCACATCCGCACTCCGACCCAGCACAGGGCGGTGGCCGTGCCCAATCCGGAGATTTCATTCCTCCAGAATGAGATGCGAGCCATGCAGTCAAAGGTCCACTATGCGACTAGCTCCGCCCCTAATATCGATCGAGTCATCGAGGAGTCGAAGCGGACTCCATTCTCGCGTAGAATCTCTACAATGCGTATCAAAGATACGCGAAAGGTTAAATTTCTCAGCTACGAAGGAAAGGGCGACCCTAAAGTTCACCTCCACACTTTCCTCCTTACGGTAGGAAGGGTTGACTTCGATCCTTATGAGGAGGATGCGGGGTATTGCAAGCTCTTCGCCGAAACATTTGTCGGACCAGCCCTCCTGTGGTTTGCCTCGCTTCAAGAAGGGACGATCGACAGCTTCACTCAACTCTCCACTACATTCGTGAAGCAGTATTCGAGTTTCATAGGAGTGGGTGTGACCGACGCTCAGTTGTGGAATTTGAGCCAGGGTCCAAACGATTCACTTCGGTCTTACATCACTAAGTTTAAAGAAATAATGGTCCAGATCCCCAGACTCCCCGACTCGGCGGCATTGTCCGCCCTTAAAAATGGTTTATGGCACGAATCTCGACTCAGGGAAGAGTTGACGGTTAACCGCCCTTCCAGTATCCAGGACGCCCTCCACTGGGCATCAAACTGGATCATAGCGGAGGAGGAGAAAGCCGCACTCGCCAAGAAGTATAAAGTAACTCCCAAACCGAGCTTCGATCAGGGAGCCAGACAGTACGTGCAGGGGCAAAGGCCGGGACCAGCCTCCTTCGCGGTGGACCACCAGAAGGGGGGACCTAAGGGCGCCCCATCGAAACAAAGGTTCGGATCGCGAGGTAGAAACGGAGCCTTACCGAGCAATAAGTGGACTCGGGAGAAGCAGGAGAACAATTCTTTTTGCGAACTCCACAAGGTGGCTGGGCACGCCACCCCGAACTGCAAAAAACTCATGCTCTTACGCGCCGAAAGGTTCATGAACGGGGTGATGCCGGACATAACAATCGATGAGCTCAATCAGGCGCAAAACGCAGTTCAGCTCGTATCTGAGGCAGTTGCCGAAGAGGAGGAGCTCCCCCCGGCCAAAAAACCGAAGGCACTTATCGAAGAGATCCCTCAAGAAACAAAGAAGCGCATCGACGTGATTATGGGCGGGTCCAGGATATTTTGAAATTCTATCAGAGCCATTAAGGACCATCAGAGGAAATTAAACAAATCGGCCCCAAAGAGGCAAAAGACGCGCGAAGTCTACCCCGAGATAACTTTCTCGGAAGAAGAGACAGAGAGCCTCGACTCCCCTCACGATGACGCGGTGGTCATCACCTTGGATGTAGCGAACCACGAAGTGTGTAGGATGAGGGTCGATACGGGGAATTCAGTGGATCTAATTTTTCTGAACACTCTCACAAGGATGGGCATAGACAGGAGTCACATCGTCGGGCCTCCGGCTCCCTTAGTTTCGTTCACCAGCGAAACGTCGATGTCCCTGGGAACAATAACCCTCCCGGTCGCTGCGCGGGGAGTATCCAAGATGGTGGAGTTCACCGTTTTCGACCGACCCGCGGCATATAACACTATTCTAGGGACTCCGTGGTTGTATCAGATGAAGGCGGTCCCGTCTACCTACCACCAGTGCGTCAAATTTACAACGCCTAACGGAGTCCGTGAGATACTGGGTAGCCAGCGTACGGCCAGGAGCTGATATCTGGCTGTGCATAAGCTCTTGATCCAATAGCAACCACATCTCGAGGTCGCCAAGAACCCGATGAAGAGTAGGATGAACGGCGAACTTTACGAAGAAATCCAGCTTAATGAGCTGTTCCCCGAGCAGAAGGTAAAAATTGGGGGTGGGCTTTTCCCCAGAGGTCAAGGAAGAGTTAATAAGCTTTCTGCGAAGGAATAAGTCAACTTTCGCATGGGAGGTGAAGGAAATGGTAAGCATCAGCACGGATGTGATATCTCACGAACTCAATGTCCACCCTACTTTCAAGCCTGTTCGGCAGAAGCGTAGAAAGTTGGGAAAAGAACGGGCCGAAGTGGTAAATGCCGAAGTGGACCGCCTGCTCGAGGCCGGACTTATCCGGGAAGTCCAGTACCTGGAATGGCTGGCGAACACAATGATAGTCAAGAAGAAGAATGGCAAGTCGCGGGTCTGTGTCGATTTCACCGACCTAAACAAAGCTTGCCCGAAGGATAGTTTCCCCCTCCCGCACATCGACCGGTTGGTGGAGTCCACTTCGGGGCACGAGCTGTTAACGTTTATGGACGCATTTTCGGGGTACAACCAAATCATGATGCATCCCGACGACCAAGAAAAGACATCTTTCATCACGGATCGAGAGATCTTTTGCTACAAAGTGATGCCATTCGGATTAAAAAATGCTGGCACTACATACCAACGATTGGTGAACAGGATGTTCGCCGAACTATTGGGAAAAACGATGGAGGTATACATTGACGACATGCTGGTAAAGTCGATGGAATCCAGCCAGCACGTCGGGCATCTCGAGGATTGTTTTGCGATCCTCAACAAATTTGGCATGAAATTGAACCCAACCAAATGCACATTTGCGGTCCCCTCGGGAGAGTTTCTAGGTTATATTGTGACCGAAAGGGGGATCGAGGCAAACCCTAGGCAGATAAAAGACTTTCTGTCGATGACTTCACCGCGGAATCTCCGCGAGCTTCAGCGCATGAATGGGAGGATTGTAGCTCTAAACAGATTCATCTCGAGGTCCACAGATATATGCTTACATTTTTTCGAGCTCCTCCGGAAGGGCAACAAAAATTTTCGTTGGGCGAGCAGTGTGAAGAAGCGTTCGGACAACTCAAACAATATCTGTCTAACCCTCCTGTCCTAGCCAAGCCCAAGCTCGGGGAACCCCAGTTTTTGTACGTAGCAGTGTCTGAACACGCCGTGAGCGGGGTACTAGTAAAGGAAGAGAGGGGAGAGCAGAGACCGGTGTTTTACATAAGCAAGACTATCACAGGAGCTGAAGTTCGCTACCCTATGATCGAGAAGTTGGCTCTGGCCGTGGTCACCTCGGCCAGGAAGCTTCGGCCGTACTTTCAGTCTCACACGATTGTGATTCTAACCTCGCAGCCATTGCGAACTATACTTCACAGCCCAAGCCAGTCAGGGCGGATGGCAAAATGGGCAATCGAGCTTAGCGAGTATGATATGGAATTCCGAGCTCGAACTGCTGCCAAATCGCAGGTGCTCGCCGACTTCTTAATCGAACTGCCAATTGCCAGTACAAAAGGCGAAGAGGAAGGTCCGTGGACATTGCACGTCGACGGGGCCTCTACCAAACACGGTAGCGGTGTCGGAGTCAGGCTTCGCGCACCCACTGATGAGGTAATCGAGTAGTAATTTAGATTAGCATTCGACGCCTCGAATAACGAGGCCGAGTACGAAGCACTGCTAGCCGGACTCCGGTTGGAAGTGGGAATTGGAGTCCATCGTCTTCGCGCTTTCTGCGACTCACAACTCGTGGCAATCCAGTTTTCGGGGGAGTACGAGGCAAAGGACGGGCGCATGGAAGCTTATTTACCCATGGCAAAGGAACTAGCCGAGCGATTCGAGCACTTTGAATTGATAAAAATCCCTAGGGCGGAGAACTCGGCTGCTGACTCACTAGCGTCCCTTGCCTCGATCTCGGATCCTGCCTTAACAAGGATTATCCCGGTGGAAATCTTGGAGCGCCCTAGCGTTTGCCTGAGCGGGGTGAACATACTTACAAGGTCGATGCAGCGTCGGCTCGATAGGGGGGAAATAATCCATGAGCTACCCGTCGCCCCCGCCAAAGCCGTCAGATCTCGACGGAACGCTTAAGGAGATCCCCCTGCTCCCATTGGCGGGGAAAACTCCGAAGCGCCGGCTGGGACTCTAGCAGCCCGATTCCCCTATGGTGAGGAGCCTGGAAGGGAAGGGCCAGAGGACACCTCATGGCTCCCGGAGAAGGACCAAGAAGTGTACTGGAGAACCCCCATCCTATCCTACCTAAGGGAAGGTGAGCTGCCCCAGGATAAATGGCAGGCTCGGAAGATTAGAACCGTGTTGGCCCGATTCTGCCTGCACAACGAGGGCCTGCTCCGTCGCAGTGTCGGAGGTCCTTATTTAACCTGCATCGCTGGGAAGTCGCCGGGGATAGTGATGCGGTCAGTCCATGATGGACCCAATGGGGATAACGCAGGGGCCCGAACACTGGTAATCAAAATCAAATGATACGGTTTCTTTAGGCTAACGATGAAAGCGGACAGTGAATAATTTGTCAGAAATTGCGAGAAGTGCCAAAGGCACGCCCCTACTATTCACCAACCCTCGGAACTCATGTCGTCAATCTCGGCCACCTACCCGTTCATGAGGTGGTCGATGGATATAATAGGGCCTTTGCATAGCTCGACGAGGGGGTGAGGTTCCTGCTAGTCCTCACCGATTACTTTTCCAAATGGGTAGAGGCGGCCGCGTACTCTGCCATAACGAGTTCTCAGGTCCAGCAGTTCGTATGCAGAGATGTCATTTGCCGTCACGGACTCCCGTACAAGATAGTAACTTATAATGGGTCGCAGTTCGTGTCGAGGCAGTTTGAAGCATTTTGTGCTCATTGGAAGATTCGGTTGAGCAAGTCCACACCCCGCTACTCGCAGGGGAACGGCCAGGCTGAAGCTATGAATAAAGTAATTTTGGCTAACCTAAAGAAGAGGCTGGACTCATATAAGGGTCGGTGGGACAAAGAACTACAAGGCGTATTATGGGCAATCCGAACCACGCCTCGGCGGGTAACGCATGAAACCCCTTTTTCGCTGGTGTATGGGACGGAGGCGGTAGTCCCGGCGGAGCTCGCTGTGTCAGGAGTCCGGGTAATCACGAACCCTACAATGCCCGAAGAGAACGAAGAATGTCTTCGGGATGCCCTCGACTTCATCAAAGAGAAACGCGATCGAGCTTTAGTTCGTTTGCAGCATTACCAGAGCACGATCGTGAAGTACTATAACTCAAGCGTGACCTCCGTGGTCAAAAACACTCGTGCATGAATCTTAAGAAATTCGTGAAACAAGCAAAAAGCAACCAAAAGCAAAAGTAATAATAGCGATAAACAAAAGGGGGGGTCTAAGCCCAATACAACCCCGAACAGGATGTTAAGCAAGCCCGGAGCCCGCGGCAGGGTCTTCAGGGCGGGCCAAAGGAGGGCTAGTCGCCTCACCAACAGGAGCCTCATCACTCCCGGGGCCCGGCTGGTTGCTTCCAGTTCCTGGTTCGGTACAACAGGGGGGTCTGAAGTTGGTTCCTCGATCATAAGGGGGGTAGGAGCGGGATCAGGCCCGAGTTCAGGGGGAGTATCTGCCAGTAAAGCAGTGTATGATACAGTATCAAACAGTAAGTCCTTTACCTTTTCAGCCTCAAGGCGAGTAGCCTTCTCGTCAGCTTTTAAGGTTTCGAGCTCCTCCTTCAAGTCGGCAATCTCGCCCTTCTCGATCTCTTCCACCAACATCCGGTTGGCAGTGATTTCAGCACCTCGGATTGCATGGGGGAGTAAGCGGTCATGCTCCTCGAGGTGCGACCCGATCTTGTCGATCGTGTCCCAGAACTCGGCTAGCGTTTTCCTCCGCTCTTCTCTTCGCACCCTTTCCATCTCGGAGCTGTTCCCTACTTCCAGGAGCTGATTTCTTAGTTTGGTCTCCTGGAGTTCTTTCTTTGCCTCCGTCTCGGCGGTGGTCGCCTGCAGGTACAGCTCCCCAGCCAGCTTTAGCTTGTCTTGACAAGTCTCCAGGGAGGATTCGGCGATCTGCAGGTCAAGCTCGACGGTTCTGAGTTTCTTGTTGAACTTGGCGGCCTTTTCCACTTCAGCTTGGTTGGAGACCTCCAGCGACTTATACTTCTTCACCTCCTTCTCTAAGTCAGAGATTCGAGCTTGCAAAACCCCTATTTCGGTGGCTGAAGGGCTGGCGAAAAGTTGCTCTTCGTAGTGGGCCACCGAGCTGTTAAACTCAAAGAGCATCTGCCAAAGATAGGAAAAGTATTTATGAGGGTGAAGGTGCAACCACTTGCGAAGCGAAAGGGAGTGGGCTTACCTCGCCAACCTTCTCGGCGAAACGGAAGTAGTCCTCCCGATTGTTCACGGACATGTCCTTGAAGGCAGGAACCCGAGCTCCGCATCATGTCAGCCAGGGATTTCAGAGCAGCTAAAAATGAGGTTTTTGCATTAGCTCGGGGTTGCTCATGTATTAGAAGTGAGCTATTAGTAAGTAGTTTACCCGGGAGTTCGCGCCTTGGGGTCGCCTTCGGATCAGCGGAACTCGGAGCTTCGGGCAAGGAGCCCTTCGGGGCAGGGGTCTCAGCGGGCTTCTCCTCAGTTCGTGGTTTGGAGCTCGCACGCACCGGACAAGCTGGTTCCGCAGCTTTCCGATTCTTTGACCCGCTGGATTGGCCATCTTCAGGAGCTGGGCGAGCGGCAGGAGATTCAGCGATGAGGTCGCTGTCGGGTAGAGTGATCACCTTGCGGCCCGTCCTTTCGAGGAAACTTTGGCCCTGGTGTCAGTCAGTGCGGCAACCATTTTCCTCTTTAGTTCCTTCTCTTTTAGCTCCATCTTTTTCTTGTGAGCCCTCTCTTCGCGGTAGTTCATCTTGGGAGGGGCGGACTGAGGAGAAGAGATGGTAAGAAACCTAGTGCGAATGCGAGCACCGGCCTCACGGATTCGGGGACAGGTGAAAGAGTCCCACGCAGTTTCAGCACCGCAGAAGGTAACGAAGTAGTCAGCGAAGGTTTGAGATAATAGCCCACGGTCAAGGGAAGCTGAAAAAAAAAGATAAGAGAGAACGAGTTAGTACCCCGGACAAGCAACTCCTGCAAGTCACCGAAAGTATCCCGGTTAATCGGGAAGAAGAAATAGCCACTTCGGTACTGTTCGTCTTTTTCGGGGAAGTCGTCGAAGACTCGGAACCCAGCCAGCGGGCTGAGATAGAAGGTCCCTCTAGTCCGGCCACTCTTTATCGTGTTGAGGTGGAGGATGTCCTGGAAGGTGATGACGTAGCCGTGCTCTTCGGCTAAGGTCTGCAAGCAAAGAATAGTCCGGACGAAGTTCGGACACAGCTGGGGAAGAGTGATGCCGAGGGCGAACATCGCCTTTACCAGAAGTTCCGGCAACGGAAAGTATAGGCCACATTTCGAGAAAAATATCTCTTAGGCACAGTAGTACCCAGGAGGAGGATCCTCCGGCGACAGGTCATCCCCCGGGGAGATAAGCTCCGTCTCCGACGTGAGACCGCAAAGGAACTTTACGTGTATTAAATCTTCCTCGGCTATCGTCGATCTGGGATGCGGGCCAAATTGACCAGAGAGGGAAGCGTCTCCGGCTTTGAGAGTTTGCTTTGGTGGCGACATGCTTAAGCTTAGAGTCGAGTATGGGAACGGAGTAGCAGAAGATACGGCGAGGAGAAGCGTCGACAAACAGAGAGAAATAGAAGAAGCGAGAGAAAATCTAAAAAGAAAAGCGAAGGAGAGAGGCTCTATCTTTGTTGCGTCTTTGCGGCTGCAACCCAATGATTACCTAGGAAAGCTAGAAGGTCGCGTCCTTTATAGCCGGCAGCCTAGGGATTCCGAAGCGGCAAAACCGGGGGGCGGTAATCCAAAAAGGCAACTTCGAATAAAAACAAATCAATCATATCAGATTCGGGAATCGAAGTTTCTTTATTTACGAAGCATTAAAGTCTCCCGAACTGAGCCACTTCGGAAGACTTGGGGGGGCTTACTGTGGGTACCGGAATTGGCACTCCGGGCTGGCACCCCATTCCGTTTAGGCCCGTTGGCGAAGGCCCATTGTTGGAACTGCCCAGCCCGTCAGGTGAAGTCCAGTAGGAGCTGGGGGTTCGAAAGGAGGATCGAAATGGGCTATCAGCGGGTCAAGCGGCGTCTTAATGAGAATGGCGCGATTCGCAGAGCAGAGTTCGCTGTGCGTTTAATGCTTGCCAGAGTAGTATAAGTAGGAGGAAAAACAAAGTGTAAAGGGGTCGGATTTTTTGGGCAAAGTATTCTAAATAAAAACTAAGCATTTTTCTCTCAAACATTTCGCAATCCTATTTACTAGTTCGGACAGGGAATTAGGAACCCACTCGAGTTCACTCCGTTTCCAGTTCGTGTATTTCAGCTCCCACAGTATATCTGATCTAGAGATATGCTCGGGGGCGTTTAGACTTATTTGCTCGGATGTTATGTGATAGTCTCAGATGACGATTCGAGACCTTGCTTAAGGGTGACGACCCAAGAGCGAGTGTGATACTTCTCGGATACCGTAGCTTGAAGGCTGGAGGCCTAATAGTGAGCCGGTATGACTTGAAGGTTGCAACCTGAAAGCGGGGGGAGTGGTGAGACTTCCCGGATACCGTAGCTTGAAGGCTGGAGGCCTAATAGTGAGCCAGTATGACTTGAAGGTTTTAACCTGAGAGTGGGGGAAGTGGTGAGACTTCCTGGATACCGTAGTCTAAGGCAGAGGCCTGAAGACGAGCCGAGATAATTCATGGGTGAGTATGAGCAAATAGGGTATGGAACTTGAGTATATGGATTAGATAGGAGCATCAGAGGAGTCAGTTGTGGGAGTGCGGATCGTTTGGGACGGTTGCACGGAGTCTGACTTATGGACGATGTTGAAGGATTCGAGTACGAATCCATGTTAGTGGGGGAAAATTGAAACGCCCGTGTTCTGAAAAATAATATGAGACTTGATTGTGTATAAGAATTAGGGTGTAGTCGGTTTAATTCCGGTTGATTTTCTAAATTGGTCGATTTGTTTAATTGAATCAAATGAGGTTTAATTAATATCGGTTTAGGTAAATCCTGATTTAATCATAATTAAACCAAAAACCCTATTTTTGTAAAGAACGCTTCTTCTCCCTTTTGTTTTGTCGTTGTTGTTTCTGAGAGTTGAGTTGAGAAAAGGAGAAGGAGAAGTTCACTTGTGAGAAGGAGAGGGTTAGCTTTGCTTTGGTGTTTAAGGAAAGAGAAGCAGATTCGTCACGTCTTGATAGAATAGAGTTCCGACGTATCAAATCTTAAGGCGTGTACGTTGATTCTCCTTTTTACAGAAGTGAATTCGGATTAATATTGAGTGAGTTATATGCAGTTTGGTGAGAAGCGTTTTCTCTGTTGCAAACTGGGATCAGCGGAGTTTGTAAGTGCGATCATGGTTTCATCGTTTCTCTAATCAGCACCAAAGTTTGTGGGGATCTTCGTGACGTCTGAGTCTTGCTTTCCACCGAAGTGATTAAGGAATTAACGGGCGTTGTTTGGCAGTTGCAGTTGCGAGGAGAGTCTTTGGTTGAAATTGCTGGTTTAATGGAATTGTTTGGTTTAATTTATTTAAATTGATTAGAACTGGTTTATCTGGTTTGAATTAATTGGGTTAATCCGGTTTGCATGTTAAAAGAAAAAAAAACGGGATGGGTTCTTTCATAAACCAACCCTCCCAAATCGATTTCTCAAATTAAAACAAACCGGCTGACCGGACAAATGTTGGTGTCGATCGACACCCATCCTGATTGTCGATCGACACCATATATTTTTACCCATATCATTTCTAATTTTCATTTCTTATTTTGGAGAGCAAAAACGCTGTGTATTCCAGAAGAACACATTAAATTCTATAGTAAAGTTTGAAAGCACGAAATGATAAGCTTTTTGACGCTAAAGATATATATCCGATAGACACTTACCAACTTGTTATGGCAAAAGCAACTAGCTGGAGAATGACCCAAATCGTTGAGGAAGTCGTGGATACAGACCTAGAAGTTATGGTGGGCCCATCTTAACCGGAACCGATGACTAAAGCAGCACGCTGTCAAATTGATGCCTCATGGCATAGTGATGATCTTTATTCGGGGTTGGGGTTTGTTCTTGATGTAGGTACGTTTGATCTACTTGGATTAAAAGGTACTATAAGATTTCTATCCCTCTTCCATACTAAATTAGAATCCCTCCTTTGGTTATGGAGGCAACTTTATCTTTGGGCTATTTGTCGATCCCGGTTGAGACAGATTGTGCACATGTACGAAAAATGTTGGAAGAAGAGGGAGAGTGGCTAATTTTTACATCTGTATTAGACCTTTTTAAGATTCTTCAATCATCTTTTAGTGACTTTTCTATAAATTTAATTTCCCGTAGTCATAATATGTGTGCCGACGCCCTTGGAAGGTTTAATTTCTATAAACTCCTTTTTACAAGGTTTAATTTTTTGAAAAGATATTTTTAAAAGGGTTTAAGAAGTTCTTAAACGGTTTTAAACAATTTTTAAATTGTTTTAATAATGTATTTATACGGTATTTATAAAAGATATATAAAATTTTAAACATTTATAAAGCTAATTTTTGTGTATATTTATAAGCTTACACAAATATTTGGACTATTTAAACATTTTTATTGGCTTTTTTGATAAATTTTGAAACGGGGTTGTTTTTTAAAGTAATTTAACAGCGGTTTTTTAAAAAGTTTCCCTTACTTGAAATCCCCATAAGAGAAAGATATTTATCAAGTTATATTTTAGCTATTTATTAACAATTGGTTATACTATCGATTTAAATAGTATGCAAAACTATATTTCTTAAAGCGGTATACCCAAATTAGTGATCTCGACATTTATATTTCATGTGTTAAAAAAATATTTGATCGACAATATAAATAGAACTATAATTAAAATATACGCAAATATAATTTCGAATGATAAACACTTTCTGAAAACATACGTTAGGCCTTTGATCTTCCATCAGTCTGCAAGCATTACATGTAAAACAATAGAGTCTAAGAAGAAGGATGGTGATCGTGAACATTGAAATCAAGAATTGTAGGGGTTAAGAAAACACAAAATATATCCAAGCTGAGATCTTAACTAGTTTTCATAAATTAAAGTTTTTATTTCATTCTTATCTCCTTAAGGGAGAAGATAAAAATATATCTCTTACTCCGTTTCTTCTTCTATTAAATATTTCAACACGACTGTGTGCCATATGAATCTCTTAAATAAAAGTTTTTTTGTATAACCAGGAATAACGTCACTAGATCAAGCGAACAACAAGCCATACACAACATGAAATGGTACTTGCATACGTTTTATAGAATATTCAATCTATTTTGTATTGT